CAACAGAAGTTGTGGCATAAGGGCGGGCCCAATAGAACCGTCAGTAAGTTTCTGAGGAAGTCTGCCTCATTTCGACCACCTACCATGGCCAGTTGCCGGATCTGAAAACAGTCAAGCAGATGTGCACATACCGCCTCGTTCGCAAAACCGTCTTCTCAAACAGAATTCGCGCAAATCCGTCGTCAAGCATCTGCCTTCCACTGTGTCCACGGTCCCAGCCACTACAGGCAGTTCTATGTATTCCAGTAAATAAGTCACATACAACTCCTACCCGTTGAAACTTCCGACATTATTTCGGGCATTTGCAATTCCGGTGAATCATTTGCAACCAAAGACGTTGATGCGATGGGTTGCTCCTCCATAGCAGCACAATATGCTCGCCTCTGGCGCAAGAGCCGCTTGTATATAGTGCTTCGGTGAAAGCCGTAATACTTACGCTTCATTGCAACGAATAACTACTCAACGACAACAAATATTTTTACTTTCAACATTGTTCGCAAAATCATAAGTGAAATTATACTAATACATATGTTACTACACCTTAATAAGCATAACGAATACCCTAAATGGCATAACTTGGAAAATAAAGAAGTATCAGACACAAAATAGACGCCGAATTACTTGTTACTATGTCATAAACAATCACAGGACGAGAGAACCGCAACGCTTACCCCAGACACAGAAAAAGATCAATGGCGTCACATTGGCCCACTTAAACAAAGCACCTTAATCAGCTTATTTCGAGACATAACCACTGCTCACAATATGAAGATTCCCGGTACTTTATGAGTGATATAGGATATATCTTGACTAATTTAGCACTTTGCAATGCAGAAGTGGTCACCTGAAAGATTAGGAGGTCCTCCAAAATTTCTTCAAATTTGGCGTGGCCATGGCCACGCTTGGCCACACCTGGCCACACCTACAAGGTGTGGCCAGGTGTTGGCAGGGAAGGGATACACTAAGATGGAGTACTGTGCAACCCCCTCAGCTGGCAACCACCCAATCAACTGGGACGATTTGCCATGAAGAGGGATGCCCGTTTTCTTGTCCCATGCACTTGCAGACTGTCTGATTCAAGCCGCCTAGTAATGAGATTGGGCTCAGTGACTGGCATGGCGTAAGCTTCCACGTAGCGATTGTCATGTACGTCACTAGTTGAGAGTTCAAATAGTCAACACAGCCCGTACGGAGGCCTGAGCATAATTACCAATTAAAGACGGTAGCTGCCCTAATTTTGTAGAGCATTGCCCCGTGCTTTATGATGGTCTGTTTTTCGTGTCTTCTCGCACTCCAGCGCATTCGCACGATGCCGTCTCCTCTGCCGCCCACCTTCTGGCAACTGCCAAATTTGCCCTCTTGGCCCACAGTGGTAATCCCGAGACCGCTGGCCGAAACCTGTTCTCCCTCGAACCCCTTCTTGCCGTCCCCGCCAGCAGTCAGCAACTTCTACGACGAAAGCCCTACCTGGACGTCTATAGGGATCCAATCCCTTTTTCAGAGGCACACGTCGCTCAAAGCATCACAGAAAGACTGCGAACTCGCGTCCAGGAGGTCCTCCGCGAGTGGCCGGATCACCCAGCCCTTCTGAAGGTTCTTTCGCACCCCGTCCTGCATTAACTTTATCCAGATATTAGGAGAACTTAATGCCAGTTTATACTCAACTTCTTCGCTTTTAGCTTTATAAAAAGCATTGATTACCAGTAAACCTGTTCCGTGCCCATAAACCTAGTCTCCAGTAGACGTGCTGTCTCATGCAATGTTAACCAAAACTCTCCAATGTGTTTTCCTTTCGAAAAGGCTACTTGAGTGGAGTTGTGCCATTAATTATCGTGCAGAAAATTATTTCTTTTGCAAATTTTGTACTTGAGGAAACGGTATCTTTCGGTTTTAGAAAACCTCTTCGATTATCGAATAATTCTAAACCCAATCCGCCGCTGTACTTGCATTAAGGGTTTCGAACCTACAAGTTGTATATTTTTTTGTAAGGAAAATCATACATTTATAGATACCACTAAGAAGATGCCATATAGGGTCATAAAATACTGCAATGGATGTGGACTATGTCGTATACTTTATAAGCAGCATTAATGTATGGACGGATACTATGCTTCATGAGTTGATCCTTCACGGTCCTAAAAATCACACTGGAAGCTTTTCCAAAACCAAAAGCTTCCCTTTCTTCGAGTATCAAATTTGACGAAGACGTTACTTGCCAACAAATAAGCACGAAAAAATAATGCATTTTGCGTGTTTCCTATAAAATATATTTACATTTATAAAGGCATTGAAAATTAATATAAAAATACATACTAGTTAAATAGCCATTTTCTACCAGGGGACTTTTTCCAGGCGACCGAGAAGAATCTGATTTAAAAGCCCTCACCGTGGTCTGACTTAAATACCTTTGAATTATGCTACACGATAGTTAGTATTACAACCCTTCTTGAATTATCTTTTTTAGTCTAAGACACATTTCAGAATTCCAGTCAGCATTTCAGGGGATAGTGGGTAAGTGGGGGTTTAAACATCCAAATTTG